TTAGGAAGTTTCCCGCTCATTTCCTCACCTGATGTAATATTTTACTTCTTAATAAGGAAATATAAAACAGTCCTTATTGATTAAATAGACTTTGGGATGATTTGGAAGTAAAGAAAGCCGTCAAAATGACAAGAGCGTCGCGCTTGTTTTTGCTATAAATTCGATCGCGTATCTTCCTGAGGATCAAAATTGTAGACCTTATGTTTCGGATGAACTTAAATGCTAATATTTTCGTCGGCTTTTAACGGATTCGATCGAGTATGGTACCAAAATTTAGCTTGTCATTTGAGCATTTTGTTTATGCTCCAGTGCACTTGTCGCAAACAATACGATTAGGAAATTCATTGACTGGTACTATCGCGCGGCAGATCACAGCGCTTGCCAACTGTTTCGGACGCAGAAAAAAATTCATATCTCGACAACGTTTCAACAAAACACAAAAAAACGAAAAGAAATTGAAAATAAACTTATGAGCATTGCATTTTGAGGTTAAATTGTTCTGTAACTCAGGAATTATGACTCGCAAAATGAATTTGAAATTATCTGTCTCTCCTACGCTTTAAAGCGTGACGCATCAAGTGGTGAACACTTTCATTGATTTTAAGAAAGATTTAGCTCAAATTTTCAGGATTTTGGTTGCTACTTTGCTTAAAAAGGAACTATTTTCATTATCTGTTAAGTCTTACGGTTATATACGAGGCTTCAGTGTGCAAAAACAGGAAAACAGTGAATAGTGAAGCCGACGCATGTTACGCGTGACGCCATGTTTTTGTCGCTAACTTTACAATTCGGCTCCAATTCAATATTTTCAGAGATCCTTTATTCTACCTCTGTTTAGTCCAAAACCATTTTTAACACATTTGTAACAATTGTGGGAAGTCTCAAGCAGATCTGATCATTGTGCGCCGAGAAATTCTTAAAAGATTCAAGCAAATCCGTGATTTTTCAATTTGTACGTGACAAGCGTGCTACTGATCATATACAAATCAAACCCATCAAGCTAGTTCACCATGAGGGAAATCTACATGTACTTTTGAGATGCATCAAAGAATGTTGAGCGTGATGGTTAAGGAAAAGTGTTGTGTTAAGTCGCCAAGACAATTTCTCTAATGATTGTAGATATATGAAAAT